AGTAGTTTCTTGGACTATTCTGTTTTGCATATACCTGTTACTAACCGACGTTCCGTGGTCAGAAGCATTAAAGGCTTTTCCATCTCTATTAAAAGTCTCCGAAATCAATTAGAAAGGAAATTGTGTCGTAAAGTATACATAAATAAGATTATCTTTACCTAATTGCGAGAGGTCTTATTGCCTACTGGCTACCCTTAAAATAATTGAAAAAATCGGCCAAGTGCGAGTCGGACTCGCGTAAGGGTTTCGTACCATTATATACAGACTGGTGACAGACGTACAGATAGAAAAACAGCGGAGTCAGTAATAGGGTCCCGTTTTACCCTTTGGGTATGGAATCCTAATAAAAATAATGACCAGGAAACAATAAATGAATAGTAAACCACATACCCTAAGAGGAATTTATTTAAAAGCTACACAAACTGTAAACCAAACTTACACTGGTCGGCTAATTATGAAAGTATCAAATCGCGAAGCTAAATAATGTGGTAATTTGATGTCTCAGAAATATGACTTTGCAAGTACGAAATGTACTTGAGATCTAAGATTTAGCGGCCCCCGAGGATAAGCCAACTAATTGGCAAACTTTAAAACATATTAAACTTCAGCACATCTCAAGAGATTCTGAGACAACGCAATCGGACACGATTTTAAATATTCAATATTTTATATATTGTCAAAGAGTATTTAACAAAACTGTACTAAAAACTAAAAACTGTGTTTGTGCCTGATATTGACAAATAATTTCGTGTAGTCCTCATTCCAAACTTAATTCTGTATTTTAAATATCAAATAACTATTATTTTAATAAGTGTGATCATTATAGACCAAAACTTTAATAAATCACAATGTAATTAAATATGTCTGCTTTGAACGATACTGAGTTTGGGATTTAACGTAGAAGAGGAAAGCTCCAACGAAAATGCCTTACAAGAGATTAATTGAAAGAAGCGCGAATGTCGTAAATGAAAAGTGCAACTGCACTCTGCCCAATTGGCTGTTTATACGGCGAGCGTTCAGAGAGAAACGACCGTGGCATTAGTAAGTAGCTACTAACTGAACGGACGTTTTACTGCTACGCGGGACGTTTGAGTAAGTTTTTCAGCTCACGTATCTACCTACTGAAAACAAGTAAGTATAAGATATGGATTTAGTCATTTTTTAAGAATTCTTAGTGTTTCCATTCATGGGTATTTTCTTATTATTCCAGAAAGTTGTAAATACCAGTAAAGTCTATGAAAATACACAAATATTGTGACGCGTCTACTCAATTGATGCCCTGACCAACGTCTTGCCTTAACAGTTTTGAGAGATGTACTTAATTTCGTTTTAGATTACTTCTAGAATAGTAGAACGTTATTCCGAAATGAAACGAAATTTAAACATTGTACGAGACGATCTAAGTTCAGCCATTGAACGTCCTCATTCTAGAACACTCTCTCTTCTCACGGAACGCTCTAGGAGTCCAGTGGCGGAACTCTAAAGTAGAAAGAAGAAGAGGACAGTGTAGTTGCACCTTTGAAGTAAAGATTTAAAATACTTTAACCCCAATCGCACAAACCCTAGCTCGTAACAATGTTATAATGGTCCAACTTTTATATAACTTTGCCTGTCCAATGTCAGTAGGCTATGAAGTCGGGTATCTATAGAAGTTGAGATAACACAGAAGAGTCATCCGCGGGAGATTTAAAACTTCAGTGGTACTAAAGGCTTTGTGTTAAAAGTGTTAAGAAATTCGACAAATTTGACTTTTAACGTTAATATTTCAATGGTTTCAGACTAAGTCTTTATAAATGTTATACTTTTAAATGTCACACTAAAACTGTTTTAATGTAATATAAAAATACTACACTATCACTAAGGCTTCGCACGGATCGATATCCCTAAAGTACTTAATGATTTCTACATCGTAATTCAAAAAATGTTAAAAGCTTAAAAGTCACTTATTGAGCAATGATCATAAAATGAGACAATTGCTGGATTCATGTACTGCAAATTTAGACACAGTACTGAAAACGGTCACTATCAGAATAATGATGTACCGGCGGATAAGCTGAAGTTTGGCAGCTCTTTGGACCAACAATTTATTTCTCACTACACAGCCCTCCGGCTCTATCTTTTTCTTGCTAAGAAGCTTATAAAGAGAAGATAAAAAGTACATATACTCCTATGTACAAAATTTTCCACTTCTGAACTAATGCCTCCACTGTAGAGAAGTTATAAGAACGTATTCCGTCACACGACTGTCCTGAGGATTAGCAGGCTTGGAATATCTTCTATGTTCTCAATTATTTCTTAGACATGCAGTTCGTCTATGCTTTATTTACCACAAAACAAGTGGTGAACCAGTGCTTAAAATTATAGCTAACTATGTCGTAGCAGCATGCACCTAGATATGGTTAATACGTTGGAAGTTACTGATTTAAAAACAAGAGCCCAATTACTACGCTACCACGACAAAAGTAGCTCGAGATTCGAGCTTTATGCATGGAGCTAGAACAGCTTCATAGAAAAAAATCAAATACAGTCTTGCTCCAATATCTGTAAAGTAGCTTTATGTTGTATTATACCAATATCAAAGAGAACGCAATAGTATTTCGTATTGCGTTGCGCGTTACAGCAATAAAGCTACAAAGAAATATAGGTCTACGTGGGATAGATCAGCATACAGTGATCACCATTCACTGCAGCATACAGTGATCACCATTCACTGCAGGAATGAAGCTTTGTACCCATGGTTCCTTTAAAAAAAACGGTTGCTTGATTAAAAAACTACACTGAAGGTTTTGTTGAATTTTGAATAAAAATGGAAGGTATGTTCAGAGCACTCGTTAAAGTATGGGACTGTTAGTACGTCTCAAAAATATTAGCATTTGCAGGTTATGAAAACTTTGTATTTGTTGAAGATAAGAACGTGTTACTCTCACGTCGCAAGGAATTCCGATACAACTTACTCTGGAAAAGATTCAAACTTCTGTAATATTGTTTGAGGCAAAACTGTTATGAGAAACTAAACTAACATTTTTAAGGATGTTGCTTTTTTCCAATTCCCACCGTTAACTTATAATTATGAAAACACGCAATTTCATCAATAAAATATATTTTTAATTTAATCTGTTTCTGTAAAATAAAAAAAGGTAATGTAAGCTAATCTTGTAATTTATTCAAAGGTAATGTAAGCTAATCTTGTAATTTATTATTGGATTATGAATATGAATGTTGCTTATGTTATATTTATTAAAATGTGAACAGTAGTGAAAACCAAAATTGAAACAACACAATACAATTGCGCTCCACTACACACTTAGCTGTTCATTCGGCGACCGTTCAACCAGAAACGATCTTTGAAATTGTACGTGAGCTGAAAAACTTAATCAAGCGGCGTAAGAGAATGTATTTAATCAATTTTCTTTTGCGAAGAAACTATTTAGCTATGTTTCCGTTTATAGCAATTTCCATATCATTAAAAAAATTACCTTTGTTATTCACTTTTCTTTATTCATTATTATTATAAATTGTGGTTAATATTATTATTTCTGTGAACTTACACTACAATTCTAAGTCCTTTTACTGTTTCATGACAATTTTTTTTTTACTTTCACATAAAAAAAGTTAGGTATCATTGTATATGAGCTAAAGGAATTTATAGATCTCTTTTTACTAGTCTTTCGTCTATGCTTATGGCGGTATTAACTTATTTATACATAAATTTTTATTATTCATAACTAGTCCATTCCATATATTCATCTCTTGGAATTCAACAAGAACTCATGATAATGTAAACTCAAACCGTGTGTTGATCTTCTTTATAGTTCTGTCCTCATCCCATGTGTTGTTAAAAAGGTTGCTTCTTGTTAAATTAAATTACACAAATTACCCATCAAATTAAAGGTGTTAGTATTTTAAAAAATGATACATCCTAAATGACCAGTTCTCAGTATTACAAATTACAACCCTTGCAAACTTTTCTTACTTTTCTCAACTTTAACAGGTCAATTTAGCTCTCTTCAGAAGACATTCTCGAGAATAACGAGTAGAAATATTACAGATAAAACATGATGGTAATTCATAATTGAGAATTTATGGTAATTGAGAAACCTCCTTTTTTGAAATCGGTTAAAACGAAAGAGCTGTGACAGCTGACACTCCAGCAATTAATTCGTATTCCGCTTCGTGCTTCCACACGGAACGGACGTTACTCTGAGCCGGAGGGCCCATGCCAACCGACCCGGAAGCCATTTTGCAACCGTTGTTGCTACTTATATTATTTCTTTTATCTCTTGGTGTGCACTGCTTGCCTCATCGCTGTCGTGTTTCGCGGTCTACGGTTAGGGAAGTCTCAAGCAAGAAGAGTGAAGAAAAGTTATAGAAGAAAGAAGAAACATTATAGAAGAACGAAGAAACTTTGCCCGACTTCCGAGCGGATAGTGTTAGTGTAGTGTTGTGCTCGTAGGCAGGTTCCTGTCCGTAAGTAGAATTCTACACACATTTCTCGTCTCAGAGGCGGCATTGTAATTTTTACCTGTGTGCTTGTTGCATTAGGCGACAGCTAGGTACTCACCCTAGCGCACCTAAAGCGCAGGCGATTAAAGGTTAATTTTAGGCACACACCTCCCTGCCGCAAGGTGGGAAGGCCTATTTAGTAAACCACACGCCGGCGGGGCGCAAGCCCCAAAGGCCCAAGCGTCGACATGGGTTCCCTAATAGAGGAATTCCTGCGTCAAGAATGCCCCGAATTATGGGTAAAATATTTGAATTTCGCGAGGTAACGACGCATCGTCGTCGAATTCTCTAGCGACAGTCCGGCTTCACCGGCTGGCGCCTCGCAGCCATCTCCGGTGCCCTCTGCGCCAGCTATTGTGTCGCCCTCTGCGACTATCGAAACGCCCGTCGCGTCGACCTCCGCCGCCGCGATCGATCCTAACGCGCCTTCCACGCAACCAATTTCGGCCCCCTTCCGCGCTGTCGTTCCCGACTCACAATCGGACGGGGGCTCAGACATGGAGGTCGAAACGACCCCCGCTAACAACGCGAACGCCAACGGCTTCACCGTCGTCAAATCGCGCAAAAAGGGCAAGAAACGCCCCGCTACGGACAGCGACCACGAAAGCGAGGCCGCCGCGTCAAACCGTCCCACCGCGACGCCCGCCAAAAAGGCAGCCGCGACGGCCCAGTCGGAACCGACATTCGTCTCCGAGCGAAAAATCAAGCCACCGCCGCCAATTATAATCCAAGAAAAGGCAAAGTGGCATCAGATATGTTCATGGTTCGAACGCCATAACATACGAGACCCCCGGTCCAAGAATACGCATATGGGTATCCGCGTATACCTCGATTCTTCGGACGATTTCCGCCGCGTAACGAAATACTTGCGCGAAGCTAAGGTAGGTTTCCACACCTACTCACTACCCGAAGAGCGTAAACTTCGGGTCGTAATTAAGGGCGTCCCAAAAGAGTCGGATGTCGATATGGCTAAGGTCGACATCCGCACTAGGGATACCCCGTGCGTCGTCTCAGGCACCCTCGCACCCGTGTCCCTATGGACATGGTCATGGTGGAACTTGACCCTACCCCGGAAGGTAAGGCCATTTTCAACCTTAAGAGGGTCTGTGGGCTCAGTGACTTAGTCATCGAGCCCCCACGCAAATCAGGTGTTGTGGCACAGTGCCACAACTGTCAACATTTTGGCCACACGGCCAATAACTGCTTCGCTCACCCAAGGTGCGTCAAATGCACCGGTGACCACGGCACAACCGAGTGCACGAGGCCGAAAGATTGCGCAGATCCACCGGACTGCGTAAACTGTCACACTACCGGCCATCCGGCTAGTTATAGAGGCTGCGCTAAGGCCCCGAAAACTCCCGCGAGAAAATCTCCCGCGAAGTCTACGTTGCCCAAACCCGCGCCCGTTAAATACATTCCCGCGCCCGTACCCGTCACAAACGCCTGGGTGAAACCCCAGGTGGCCGCGCAGGTAACCGCGCCGGTCGCCTCACGACCGATCGCACAACAGCTGCCCGCCTCTCAAACAGCGCCGCGGCCGCAGGTGCAGCCAACTCCGTCAGTTTTCGCGGAAAACAAGGACGACCCATTCGCGCAAATCGCTAATATTTGCAGCTTACTTGATAGAATCAATAGGCAGGAACTCGCCGTATTGTCCGCTAAAATAGCGGCCGCCACATCTGGCCACGAGCGTCTTAGGGCAATTAGCCAACACAAAACGCCTTTCCATAACAATAGTCCGCGCAATAAAACCGCGCTCCGCCGCGTCGTTAAATAGACCCATAAAAACACCTTAATGGGAAGTACAACCGCAGGTAGAACAAAACCTCGGGCTCTGGTTGTTTCGTATTTCAACGCAAACGGCATAAAGGGTCAAAGGGATGAAATCGCGGAATTCCTTCGCGATTATAACGTACATATTTTCCTAGTGCAAGAGACATTCTTGAAACCTAGTGTACGCGATCTCAGAATCGCAAATTACAATATTGTCCGCCACGACCGGTTAGCAAACCGTCTGGGAGGCACACTAATTTATTATAAACGGTCCTTGCACTGTTGCCCGCTCGACATTCCAGAGCTAAGTCAAATAGAGGCATCCGCGTGTAGGTTAGCGCTCACCGGCCACAGGCCGCTTGTACTAGTCTCAGCCTACCTCTCGGGGAATAGAACCCTACTTCAAAGCGAACTAGATACGCTTCTTAACTTAGGCCCTTCCGTGATAATTGTAAGAGATCTAAACTGCAAACACGGCTCATGGGACACCAACAGCATCCCAAATAACAACGGAAAGCATCTCTTTAGCTTATCCGATAACCTAAATTTTAGTATAGTCGCTCCCGCGACTCCCACTAGGTATCCTACGGTGGACAACTACCAGCACGCGTCACCGAGTGTCCTAGACATAATGTTATTCAGGGAGGTCTCGCTCGACATCGAGTCGATAGAGACAATCCATGAACTAGACTCAGACCACATGCCCGTCCTGTGTAAACTGGGCCAGAACGCCGGCGCGGTCTCTCCGACCAAATCCGTAGTGGACTGGCATCGTCTTGAGGTCAAACTCAAGGCCTTGGACCCCCAGGACTTAGTAGACTTACCCGAGACGATAGCTACGTTCGATGACGCAAATCGAGCAATAGTGAGTCTCCGCGAAACTATTACTTCCGCAGTCACAGACTCGGAACGGACGGTGAAACTGTCGGGCGACCGACGGTTTAACTTTCCGCCCGACCTACGACAGGTAATTAGACAGAAAAATGCAGCCAAACGCGCCTTCGACCGATACCGATCGGAATCGAACCGAACCCTACTTCGACGCCTTCAGCTAGAAGTCAAAGATCGTATATCGGAACACCGACATACAACGTGGGACAATCTCCTAGAGGACATCGAGCCATCGCACACCGCCTACTGGCGGTTGGCCCGCAGTCTGAAAGCAGACCCCCGCGAATCTCTACCGCCGTTAGTTAGACCTAATAGCGCTTCAGTAGCCCTAGATGACTCCGAAAAAGCCGAATGCCTTGCGGACAACCTAGAGCAGCAATGTACGCCATCGCGCGAACACACCGATACAGTCCACCTAACGGAGGTGGACCGCGTAATCGAGACTAGGGCTGCGCTTCCACCGGAAGGCGAACCTTTAAATTCAGTGACCCCCGAAGAGGTCCAAGATATTATTAAAAATCTAAAACCGAAATCCGCCCCGGGCCCAGATAATATCAGTAACAAAATTCTTAAAGCTCTCCCTGGGCCGCTTATCTGTTTACTGGCGACCATTTACAATACTTTACTCTCCAGTTGCTCCTTTCCCGACGACTGGAAAGAAGCCACGGTTATCGGCATTCGCAAGCCGAATAAACCAGCCAACCAGCCCTCTAGTTATCGTCCCATCAGCCTCCTCAGTTGCCTGGGGAAGCTCTACGAGCGGCTTTTATTAAATAGGCTCAATGAACACGTGTTTACCAACGGCCTTCTGCCGGCGGAACAATTCGGCTTTCGAGCTAGACATTCCTGTCCCGATCAACTATTCCGCCTAACGGAACATATCCTAAAAGGCCTAAATCACCCTAAACATATTAGTACAGGGGCTCTTTTCTTCGATATCGCAAAAGCATTCGACAAGGTCTGGCACAACGGCTTGCTTTATAAGCTGTACACACGCAAGTGCCAGATAGGCTCGTACACACCATCCGGGCCTTCCTGTCAAACCGCTCTTTTCGATATCGAGTTGAAGGCACCCTCTCCACAAGCCGCCGCCTCACGACCGGCGTACCACAAGGCTCCTGCCTCTCACCTTTGCTCTTTACGCTCTACACGAGCGATATACCTAAAGACCCCCACGTCAATCTCGCGCTTTTCGCGGATGACACGGCGCTCTTTTATTCAGACCGCAACCTTAGACTACTAACCACTCGACTCCAAAGCGCCGCCGACCGCCTCAGCGGCTGGTTCCGCAAATGGAGAATAGAAATAAATCCCGAAAAGAGTGTAGCGATTCACTTCACACGAAGTACTTACCCGTCACATCTTTATAATGGTCCTCGCCAATGCATAAAGTTGGGGCAAATATCCCTTTATGGCCAACCGCTCCCCTGGGAGAAAAAGGTCAAATACTTAGGAGTCACTTTCGTAATAGAGCCGCGTTCGTCTCCGGCCGGCTACACAATTTAACTAACGCTAAAAGTAAAATGCCCTTAAGGCACAAATTATTATTATATAAGACCTGCGTACGACCTATTATGTCCTACGCATGCATGATCTTCGCCCACACGCACCCTACTCGCTTGTACAAGCTGCAAATAGTACAAAATAAGTTCATCCGCCGTGCAACCGGTGCGCAGTGGTATTAACGCAACGTCGATCTGCACAGCGATTGCAGACTCCCGACGATTCGCGAATATTTTAAAGACCTGACCAAACGGTTCTTCGATAGAGCCGAACATCATCCCAACCCTCTGGTGGTAAGCGCAGCAAACCCGACACAAACGCGAACGTCAACAAGCGTCGTCCGCGAAACGTCCTCATCGACCCGGTCGAGGAAGGGGACTGAGATACGCCGGACCCACCGCCGGGGGTCCCGCCGGACAACACTACACCCACAGTTAGTGCTACAACAAACACACTAGTTCGCCCTCGCCTCCGAGCACTGCGAGACCAACACAACGCGTACACAAGGTACACCCGCGTTTCAGGGCGGTTCTCACCGCCCCCAGCCACCGATTAGCTAAAAACACAGTCGACGGCCATCGGGGTCTCGGTCCGCACCGCAACTTCGATGGCCCTTAGATGACATGTCGTAGTTAAACGCACGCATGAGCACATGCGCGGCCCTACCCACAGCGGAGGGCCCAAACCCGTGGGTTGTGGCTAGCCCACCGGTTCTGCGTCAGATGAAGCTTTAATTGTCTCGGTACTAAAAGCAAAAACATCAGTTAATACAATTAATTCATATCCCGGTGCCGAATCCCTAATGCAATTATTAATTGCAATTTAAGTGCCGAATTATCAAGTACTCAACAGAGAAGAAAAACTAGTGTTTTAAAAAAATTGTTCAAAAACCCAATTGTATAAAAAATATTTACTTTAAAAACCTCTTTCATCTTTTATACATATAAGATACCCTATTAAAAATTAAATTTTTATCGAGTGTAATTCCTATACACCAATAAAATATATGTATAAATAACGGACCCGACAGACGTTGTCCTGTAAACAAGACTGAATACCGAAAACAACTATAAATAAAAAAATAGAAAAAAATTTGGTCTGAATTGTGCATCTAAACACTCTCGAATCGACCTAAAATCTCGTGTGCAGACACACACAAAATTTCATTAAAAGCGGTCCAGCGGTTTAGCAGGAGTTCAGTGACATCCTTACTAATATTTTAAACGCGAAAGTTTGTATGTATTGATGGATATTTTTTACTCTTTTACGCAAATACTACTGAATGGATTTTAATGAAACTTTACAATAATATAGCTTATACATCAGAATAAGACATAGGCTATAATTTATATACACACTTTATGTATATCTGTCTTTCTGTCGGAAAGTTAAGTCTTCAGTCTATTCTACGCAGACGTAGTCGCGGGCGGCAGCTAGTAAAATAAAAAATACGAAAGTAATATCGTGGACCATTAGTAAAACTGCGTTCGAGGGTCATACATATAATATTAAAAAATAAATATATTCCGCTCCCTCTCATGTCGTTCCCTAACAATTGGCAGAGGCCTGACTGAGCTTAACTTTGAAATCCATCACGCGACTGAGACAAGAAAAAGGATGCGATTGCGGATTTAAAGCTTATCGGGGTCAGAACCCGGACTTTGAAGAGATGTGTAATGGACGGCTAGGAATCCTTCTTGGAATTATTGAATCAATCTTTGTAATGAATGAACTCTTCGTATTTTGATTGATTCAATGGCATCATATTACAAATGCTAATTGCGCGATGGACATAGAAAGGGGAGGATGATAAAATCGAATTCTCCAAGCCTTTTGAGCTAAAAAACGACAAACAGGCACTTTTTACTAAAAATAAATAATATTAATGTAATATTTTTCATGTCTTGGCGCCAAATGCATTCATTGACCTAACCTAAAATTGTTCGAAAGCTTAAATTTAGTGCTCGTGTTGTTACTCGATAAATCACTTCACATTTGGAAATAAGCCAAAACTATGGGAGTTACATCAGAAATACAAAACTTTGCTGTTTCCTTATCTATTACATAATTATAATGCAAATTTGATTACCATTTACGGTGGTAGGACCACGCAGCAGCCTCGGCTGTTGCACGAATGGGCAGGCTCGTCCGTGCAAGTACCACGACCTCACAGAAGACCGGCGTAAAGTGGAAGTATAAAAAATACTTTCGCGTTTCGTCTGGTGAGCGAGGTAGCCTGAGCCCAATGTTCAAAAGGTGGTCAACGCATCTGTAACCCTCGGGTGTAGCAGATGTCCATGGGCGGCGGTATTCACTTAACTATACAGTATAAAACAAAGTCGTTCCGCTGTCTGTCTGTCAATATGTATGCTTAAAACTACGCAACTGATCTTGATGCGGTTTTTTTTACTAGATAGAGTGATTCGAGAGGAAGGTTTATATTATAATACATGGCACCCGTTCGAAGCCGGGGCGGATTGCTAGTTTTAATATATTTAAAGACTATTACAAGAGTGTAGGTTAATTTTACAAACATACATAGTTACATAAATATTTTTATTTATTTTGTTTTCATCCTTTTCCCCTGCACTGTGTACGGTACTAGGTAATAAAATTTCCATTCACTTTTCACCTAACTTATCCGACCTAGAACGGGTCAGCACGATATCCCAATCATGCTGAAAGTGGTTTGGGCTAGATTTTTACGACCAGCCGCCAGCCTGATGTCAACTCTCCTTGGAAACAAACACCCAGATCTGGAACAATTATATGCGTGGGTCACACGAATACTTTTCCCGTGTGAGAATCGAACCCCCAACCCTCGGCGCCGAAAACATTAGCTTAACTGCTCCACTGATTCATCATTTTATTTTATACTAGCTGTGCCCCGCGACTCCGTCCGCGTGGAGTTTTACATAAATAAAATTTTGTGAAACAAAAGTATCCTAAGCTACACCTTATTACATCGGCTATCAGCCAGTGAAAGTCCCGTCAAAATCGGTCCAGCAGTTTCAGAGATTAGCCGGAACAAACAGACAAAAGACAAAAATTGTAAAAATGTTATTTTGCTATATGTACCATTTATACATCCATGTGCATTTTGTAAATGCATATGGATATATTAATGTATATTATATTAATGTATGTTTTTAATATAACAAACAGATACTCCAAATTTATTTATCTGTATTATTTGTAGTAATTTCTTATAGTAAAATGATGTATGTACCTATAGATTCACTGTATAACTTTTTTTCATATGTTGTGTTAAACTTCTTGTGGTTTATTTCTACCTATTGTGTCTTTAACACCAGGAACTAATCGTATTATCAAACCGGATTCACACAACTATAGTTGGGTCATTTTAAGCATATAACATTGATAACTTTCCAATTCATTGAATTGCATTAAGTACTTACATAACAACTATATTAACTATTGCACTTGCCTAAAGAACTATAGGTACTACAGAGAATGCCTACAGACATTAAGTCCGCCTATTGTGTTCTGAAATAAAGGAAATGCAATAAAGACTAAATAAATAATCGGATAAAGCTAAAATAATAAAGCTAATCGGTTAAAGCTCTAAGGAAACGGCAAAAACGGTTATCTCATTGGTTGGTAGTCCCTATGATTTTATGCACTGCACTGTATGTCGGTGTTACGCGCGACCTTAGTTGAGGACCTAAGTTAAGACTTTATCGCAGCTCAATAATAATTTATATATAGGGAAAGTTTATTCTTTATTTGAATAATAAAATTAAAATTTTAACTCTGGTAGGGCTAACTCTACGGGTCTTGCAAATGCCCTTGGGCGGCGGTTATCACTAAACATCATGTGAACCGCCAGCTCGTTTGTCACTATTTCACATAATAAGCATTAGCAGATGTTTAAATAGCTATTGTCAACTTTGTTTGAAAGCATTTCCATTTTATTCAAGTTCCTTACTTCTATCGTCGTCATCGTGAAAATGACACTTGTTCTATGTTTAAGTATAACACCAGATAATAAATGTAAAACCAATAAGTTTTGAAGACCGTTCTAAGATATTATCCGAGATTGCAGTTTCAATATCTGGTTTTTATTTATAATAGCTTTAAATTTCAACTTTTTGATTCTGTCAAAAGTGATCGCTTCAAACGCTGCCGCAAAAATAATTATGAATTATTAATGAATATTTATGAGCCCATCTTACACCTCATAACCTCAACCCTCGCTCAAAATTAAATTACAAAGCCTATAATTCGCATCAAAATTCTAACACAATTTACAGGGTAAAATACCGGCTCCATTATTGTTTGAGTTAGCACATACCACCCACAACAAATAGGTCTGTAAGAAAACGTAATAATATTAAATTCACAATTATCGTACGGGAAAATTAATACTTAAATATCAATAAGTTACCGTTTTTACTATTAGTAATTAATTAAATTATTTTACCATTTAGCTTAGTAGTTAAAGCGTCTGGGAGTTAATCCGGAAATCGTGGGTGCGAGATCCACTCAGCGGCGAAAATTTTTTCGCCCATTATTCTACAAAATTGTATGTTTCATCTTAACTGCAGATGTTAGCGAAATAAAACAAAAAAGAAAGGAACTAAATCTGATAACTGCTGCAGAAAAATCCGCCTGTTTGCAACCTTAATTTGATGTCTTAAATGTTGTTATTAATTTTTCTTTTAATGAAATGAAATTAAATAAATTAAAATTAAATATCATCACTGTTATTACGTA